TCAGACTGCATCTCTCCCACTGGGGTGCCTCTGTCCCTGCTGGCCGCCTCCCTCCCGTGGTTTCCTGGACTACTGATCTTCTGGGGGTCCCGGAACCACGGCTAAGTAGTCAAGGATAGAGAGCAGATCGGCGAACGTCAATTCTCCGCTCTGCTCCGTGTGAACACTGAGACGGGAGAGCTGCACTTACAGCCTTCCCCTCTGAGCTGTGACAGGAGAGCCAGCACAGTGCTGTGTTCAAACTCCTGTGTTGGAGGTGTTCAAAAAGAGAACCTGTCACCTCCAAATGCTATCACACAGGGGCTTGTTAGCTTCTGTGTGATAGCAATAAAGTTAAGTGAAAATAAATAAATAATAGAAATTAAAAGGAGAACTATGAGGTGAGTGAAAATCACCCATCCTCATAGTTCGAGCCGACGTGTGACAAATAAAGTTAAAAAAACGAAAAACAATCCTGCTGCCTACACCATCTGCATGCGAACAAACGCATGCATAGGACATTATGAGTGCTGCCCACATACTTCTATGTACTATAGTGCGATAACTGGGCAGCAGACCTCTCCAACACCCACAATATGCATTAAGGGGACATTCACTTTTCCAAGTAATTTGGGGAAATGGAATTACCCGATCAAATCTCCCTAACCCCGTACTGCCTTCCAGTGCAGCCCTGCGCCATGGATTTTGAATTTAGGTCACACATTGTGTGCTCATTGGTCAGCGTGGTCACCTGACCGCATTGACCAATGGGAAGCACTTCTTGACACAGTTTTGTTATTTCTTGTATCAGGACAAGTAGATCGGCCCCCGCTTTAGTCCTTGGACAAGTAGTTTTTTTTCTTTTATTTCCGCACCCCTGCACATTAACGGTCATCTCCACCCCCCATCTTCAATTCCCCCGCAGACCGCCAATCTTCTCCCACAGACCTCTGATGATGAGTGTATAGGTTGTGTTTTGGGAGCCCAAACAAAGGGGACAGGTTCTAGAAAGGAAGGGTGGTGGAAGCTACAGTCAATGGCTATGGGCCTCCCTGCCCCCCAGTCAATGGCTATGGGGCTTCATTGCTCCCGCAACACAGCAGTGACAGGTCCTCTTTCCCTGCTCCCCCTCTGAGGTGACAGGTTCTCTTTCCCTGCTCCCCTTCCCCCACACACAGAGGTGACATGTTCTCTTCCTCTGCTCCCCTTCCCCCACATACATAAGTGACAGGTCCTCGTCCCAGCTCCCAACATCCCACACACAAAAGTCCAGGTCCTCGTCCCCCTCCGGCTTTTCTTACCAGACCATCGTACTCTCCAGCACCATCTTTGCTGTATCACCTCCTCCGCTCCACAGGCCAACACCAAACTCTGCCACTGGACCGCTCCTCCGCCAATCAGAGCCCACTTCCGCCCAAACACCGAAGAAACTTCCGTCAAGCAAGCTTACTTCCGCCCGGCTATCCCTCAGCCGCTGTTCTATCACAAAAGCCAATAGAACGCCGTCTCTCTCTTCCGCCAATCAACGCAGAGAGGCTGCCGGGAGCGGCGTGGCATTGACTCAGCATCCCCGGGCCCGAACTACAGCTCCCGGCAGACCCCACGTGGGGAACCCAGTCACTGGTTTCCGCTGTGCTGCGTCACTTCCGGCCGGTCCTTGTCTTGTGTTTACTCCCAAGTCACTATAGTGTAACATTGTATCATACAGAGAGGAATGGGGAAGTGCTGTATTCTCATAGTGATCCTCTCGCTACATTACATTCTGAGTCACTGGCCCCCAAACAAGCATGCAAGCTGGCAAAGGCAGTCCTCCAAAGCTGCATATTGGACCCAGGGTGGTGACTCAGCAATGACTTCCAATACCATCTCTATGCCAATGACACTCAAATCTATCTTTCTACTCCACAACTCTCCCCCTCAGTGTCCTACAAACATTTTTTTAAAAACTACGCAGAGCCCCAAAACCAATGCTGATAGGGAGCCGGCCCAGTGCTACAGGGGGTCGGGGAGGGGTGCAAAAATGCACCTTTGCCTGTGTAGGCAAAAATCCTAGCACCGGCCCTGTCCACTCGCTTGTTATATCTCGTCTTGACTATTACAACTCCTTCCTAATTGGCCTTCCACTACACAGGCATTCCCTCTTTCAGTCTATCATGAATGCAGCTGCTAGACTCATCCACCTAACCAACCGCTCAGTGTCTGCATCCCCCCTCTGCCGATCCCTGCACTGGCTTCCATCCCCCACTCCTCTCTGCCAATCCCTGCACTGGCTTCTATCCCCCACCCCCTTCTGTCAATCCCTGCACTGGCTTCCAATAGCCCAAAGGATAAAATTCAAAATATTAACCATCAGTTACAAAGCCATCCACAACTCTGCCCCCGGATATATCTCAAACCTGGTCTCAAAGTATCACCCTAACCGTCCCCTCCGCTCTTCCCAAGACCTCCTGCTTTCCAGCTCCCTTGTCAACTCCTCCCATACTCGCCTCCAGGCCTTCTCTAGAGTCTCTCCCATCCTCTGGAATTCTTTACCCCAACCTGTCCGTCTGTCGCCCACCTTGACTGGCTTTAGGCGATCCCTAAAGACTCATCTCTTCAGGGAAGCCTATCCCACCTCAACCTAACCGCTCGTTCTCAAAAATTCATCCCCACGCAGCTCCCTCCTCATGTATCACTTCCCCCTCCCTCTTAGATTATAAGCCCTCAGGGGCAGGGCCCTCCTTACCATACTGTCTTGAATTGTATTGTGATTGTAATGTCTATCTTATATTGTAAAGCGCTCCATAAATTCTGTATAATAATAATAATGACTGAAGCCAGAGGATCAGCATGACAGCAGCTTCAGAAGGACACCGGCAATGAGCAGCATTGTTCCTTTCACTTCCCCTGTGTGGAGAGGACATTTCCTGTTCCAGTGGCAGGTTCTCTTCATAGTCCCCTCCCCCTCGTGACAGGCCTGGTGATTGGCTGGTCAAATCATGCAGCATACTTGGAGAAAGGATCACATGGTCGTCGTCCCCATACCAGGAAGTACCAGGGAAGGAGGGAATAGAAGAACCCGTCTCCTGAATTTTTAGGAAAGTGAGCAGAACATAATCAAGGATCGAAAACCATTTTGGGGCCCCATTGAGCATCAAGGCTCCTTAGGCTTAACTTAGGGTTAGCTGACCTTTAACCCCTTCAGGACCTTTTAACTTCACCGGAGCCCAGATCCCCGGTACGAATTCGGCAGCATCAGCGTGACGACGACAAGAATCCTGCGGATAACCTCTTCATAGTTCCGGCATGTTTGACACGATAAACTCCGGGCAGATATTACAAAAACACCAATGAATGCAGCTAGTATAAGTACCCGAATGTGACCTGGAACTAGATTATTACACCTGCGCAGCAGGCCTCGGACAGAGACGCAGGACTAGGAGCCAATCAAGGCATCCTGCTTGCACATGTGCCTAAAAGAAGCAGCGAGATGACTCATCAGTCTGCAACTTCACCATCCAATCACAGGCCGGGGGGCGGGAGGTGACCAGGCTGTGTGGCTTAATGGCACAGAGGAAAGTCAGGTCACCATACAGGGCTGTACTATGTAGCAAAGCTGTGTATATCACACAACTGGATGGACAGGTAAAACAGCTCCCTATGTGTATTTTATCTGTGTGAGCGGTATGCCTGGAGCTCAAATTTAATAAATCCCTTTATTTTATAAGAAGGCAGCAGATGGACACACGCCATTGGGCGGTTGCAGATGTTTGTAAACAAAGGTCATGTGATCACCGTGGTCAGCTGCCATTGTAATCACAGCTGAATCTGGCAGATGTTTGTAAACAAAGGTCACGTGATCACTAGGGTTGGATGTCATTGTGCATCTGGTAGATATGTTTGTAAACAAAGGTCATGTGATCACCGTGGTCGGCTGTCATTGTGATCACAGCTGCTTGTAAACAAAAGCCATGTGATCACCGTGGTCGGCTGTCATTGTGATCACAGCTGCATCTGGCAGATAGGTTTGTAAACAAAGGTCATGTGATCACCGTGGTTGGGTGTCATTGTGATCACAGCTGCTTGTAAACAAAGGTCATGTGATCACCGTGGTTGGTCGTCATTGTGATCACAGCTGCTTGTAAACAAAGGTCATGTGATCACCGTGGTCGGGTGTCATTGTAATCACAGCTGCATCTGGCTATGTTTGTAAACAAGCATCATGTGATCACCGTGGTTGGCTGTCATTGTGATCACAGCTGCATCTGGCAGATATATTTGTAAACAAAGGTCATGTGATCACTGTGGTCAGGTGTCATTGTGATCACAGCTGCTTGTAAACAAAGGTCATGTGATCACTGTGGTCGGGTGTCATTGTGATCACAGCTGCTTGTAAACAAAGGTCATGTGATCACTGTGGTCGGGTGTCATTGTAATCACACCTGCATCTGGCAGACGTGTTTGTAAACAAACCTCCTGGTTACCATGGTTCTCAACCGTGTGAGACCTGCAGCTGTCGGGACTAGAAGCGTGCACAGGTGCACAATGCTGAGCACACATCTACTGGGAAAGGTAACTGGGGGGCAACATAGGTTAGTTGCCCAAATTTAAGGCTGACCCGCTGTCTGCGGTCCTCTAGAATAGATCAGGGGTGGGCAACCTAGGCACTCCAGCCATCGTGGAACTACAAGACCCCAAAAGGCATTGTAAGACCGACAGCCACGACTCCCAGAGGCAGATGCATGATGGGAATTTGTAGTTTCACAACTGGGGTGCTGAAGTTGGGATGCCGCCGCTCCATGGGTGAGCAACTTTGGGCCTCCAGCTGTGATGACAGTACAAATCCCATCACGCTTCTGCCTCTGGGAGTCAGTCCTGTAACTGTCAGAGTCTGGCGATGCCTCATGGGACTTGTAGTTCCACAGCAGCTGGAGGGCCGGTGTTGCCTCCCCCGGTCTAGATTCACTGATCTGAAGTATGGTGAGAAGTGCTGATGGCCGCTCCTTGGGCTGGGTACTTGTCCTAGGTCCTTGTCCTAGGTCAGGTGTACAAAACAGCCAGACACCCAGTGTGGTCAGTCCTGTATTTCCCTTATGACAGGTACCCTTTAAGGCAGGGGTGGGCAACTGCAGCTCTCCAGCTGTGCTTTAACTACAAATCCCATCATGCATCTGTCTCTGGGAGTCATACCTGTGGCTGTCAGAGTCTTGCAATGCCTCATGGGATTTGTAGTTCCACAATAGCTGGCAGGCCAGAGTTGCCCACCCCTGCTTTAAGGCATGCGAGGACCCCCCACTCCCCATTCCAGCATTTCTCTGCCCTCTCCTTCTTTCTGGCACTGCACGGAAGGCGTGTGCTGTACTGGGGCTTGGGATAAGTTCAATCAGCCCGACGTGAGGATGAACATGACAGTTCAATCATTGATAGCACCCTTCTGGAACTCTCTATTATTCCATGCAGCTCAGAACCGGAGACACACAGAGAATTCTCAGCATGTTATACAGGGGTAGGCAACCCTGGCACTCCAGCTGTGATGACACTACAACTCCCATCATAGCTCAGGGAGTCATGCCTGTGGCTGTCAGTGTCCTGCAATGCCTCAGGGGACTTGTAGTTCCGCAACCGCTAGAGTGCTAAGATTGACCCGCCCCTCTTTAATACCATCCATCCAAAATGACCCCCAAGATCTGAGCCGATTTCCCCCCCATGGGGAGCACACCATCCCTGCTTGGTTATTGAGGACCTCCCAAGGTGTGCAACTCCAGCCCTGCTTTAACTACAATTCCCACCATGCCTCTGAGAGTCATGCCTGGAACGATCAGTCTTGCAATGCCTCGTGGGACTTGTAGTTCTGCAACAGCTGGAGGGCCAGAGTCACCCCCCCCCCCACAGGGG